TGCATGAGAGGGGATGAGATGGAGGTGAGCACCTTATCGCTAAGTATATCTCATAGACTGTGAGAAGAAAATACCTAAGGGGGTTCATAGAATGTGAGTTTTTGTGTCTCAGAAATAAAGAGGCTGTGGCCAAAATTTTTAAGAAAGGGGCCAGCTTGCCGGGCACAGTGGCACGTGCCTGTAGTCCCAGCTACTCGGGAGGCTGAGCTGGAAGGATCGCTTGAGCCCAGGAGTTCTGAGCTGTAGTGCTATGCTGGGACGGTGTCCGCACTAAGTTTGGCATCAATATGGTGACTTCCCGGGAGCGGGGGACCACCCGGTTACCTAAGGAGGGGTGAACCAGCCCAGGTCAGAAACGGAGCAGATCAAAACTCCCGTGCTGATCAGTAGTGGGATCACGCCTGTGAATAGCCACTGCACTCCAGCCTGGGCAACATAGTGAGACCCCATCTCTTAAAAAAAAAAAAAAAAAAAGGAAAAGATAGGGGTCAGCTTTTTTAAGTAGGGTCTAGTTGTTTTGAAAAATATACCACCAGTTGAAGGGAGTCCCCCATGGCTTGGGCTAATAGTCCAAGGACCTGATTATGAGAACTGCATAAATTTAGATGAAAAGTTCTTAGGGGATTTGGAAGGCCTAAAGCAGGGCCCTATAATAAGGCATGTTGTAGCTGAGAGAAAGCATGATAAAGGTCTAGGGTAGGAGTGAGTGGTTGGTCAAGATTTCCTTTTGTGTGTTCACAAAGGGATTTAGCGATCATGGCAAAATTTGCTATCTGTAACTGGAAATCTTCCACTAATCTGAGGAAGGAAAGTAAGTTCCTTTCTGTTTTAGGAAATGGAATTTGTTGAACACCTTGCTTTTGTGCCAACGGCATTTCTCCAGCATTTGGAGTTATGATAAGACCTAAGTATGAAACTTTTGGAGATGTTAATTGGGCCTTTCTTTTGGATACTTGGCACCTGCATTCAGTCAAAAAATTTAAAACCTTGGTGTTGAATGCAATGTTCTAGAGAGGGGCTGCAAGAGCCGGACCTTGTCTCAAAAAGAAAACAAAACAAAAAACCTAATTCTTTCTTCCAAAAGGTCACATTATAGCCCATATGATGTGGAAGTATTACAGTTTGTTCATTCATTTCCTTTGATGGACACTCACTTTGTTTCTAGCTCTTTGCCACTATGGACAATGCCATGGCAAATATGTTTGCATGTATGTTTTACCAGTGAGATAGATTCCTGAGAGTAGAATTGTTGAGTCAACGGGTATATGCATTTTACTTTTCAGAGAACTTTTGTTTACTGAACAAAAATGTACATAGCATTTATTATATAACAGACACTGTTTTAAGCATTTCTCAAATATTAACTCATTTATTAATCCACATTGCCTTCCAAAAAAAGCCATAATACTTCATGTTTCCACCAGTAGGTATGATGACATTTTTCTCATATCCCACTAGCAATTGACAGTATGATTCCTTTTAACTTTTGCTAATCAGATGGATATCAAGCATAGGTTGAGGTCCCCTATCCAAAATGCTTGGAACCAGAAGTATTTCAGATTTTGAATTTTTTTAGATTTTGGAATATTTGCATTGCCTTCTGGGTATTACGTGAGCCTTTTAGGCATTTTCTATAATATCTTTACACCACAAGGAGCGAATAAGGGGGAAAAAAACACAGTGAGTAATGCACGTAGGTCTTGGCCCCATATAAGGCACTGTGGCAAACCTGCAGTTGGCATATCTGGTCTTCACAGCTACCATTCTAAGACCTTTTGTGGGTTTGCTTGCATGGGGGAATCTGGCCATGCACAGAAAAGATACATCACAGCTGATGGAGCTGGAAGGTCTTGATTACTTTGGAGATGCTGAGTAAACCATGTGCTTTGCCTCTGCGTTTGGACTGAGATATGTCACGTGAGGTCAGCATGCAATTTTCCACTTATGGTGTCATGCCCACACTCAAAGTTTCTGATTTGGGAACAGTTCAGATTTTCAGATTAGAAATGTTTAACTTGTAGTATTTCACTGTTACTTTAGCCTGTATTTCCCTAACTCTAGTGAATTTAATTGTCTCTTCATATGTTTGTGTGCCTTTGGATTTTTGTTTCTCTAGATTGTCAATTTGTATTGGTTGCACATTTTGTGTTGGGTTTTGGATCATTTTTCCTTGTCAATTTGTAATAGCTCTTCATCTATTTTTTAAAAATCAACACCTTTTCTATCATATGCTTTATTAATTTCTTCAAATCTATTGTTATTGACTTTGTTTATAATTTCTGTTTTCTTAAATTTAAAAAATTTTTATCTAATCAAACATGGCTACCTTTACTTTTATCACTCGTAGTTTTCTATTGATCATGGATCATGTAGTTACCTAGATTTCTTGCCTAGAGTTTTAAAATTTATATCTAAGCCTTTTATTCATCTGCAGTATATTTTCATATACTGCAGTATAAGACAGAATATTTTTTAATTTTCTTCCAGAAAGTAGTCAGTTGTTAATTAAATGGCCCATTTTTTTTCCTCCTGAATTAAATTACCACATCTGTCTATGTGAACATCTCCTTGGAATCTAACTCTATAACCATACTGTAGTGGTCTGATTGCTGTGGCTTCAGTTTCTCATTATCTGGTAAGGCAAATCTCCCTTACTGCTTTTCTTTCTCATAGTTTTCTTAACTAATAAAAATTGACTTTTTCATGATATAAGATGTCCTACCCAAAAATATACAAGACCTTTTCAGCTATTCAAATTTCTTTTTTCTCAAAAACATAGTAACAGTTTTTCCCCTATATTTTCTGTTACTTACTTATTTGAACTATTCCTAAATAATTTATAGCTTTTGTCAACATTATGTATGGATAAATATGTTCCCATTCTTATTTTTAGTTGGTTCCTATTAAAGTAGAAAAAAAAATATTGTGGGCCGGGCGCAGTGGCTCATGCCTGTAATCCTGGCACTTTGAGGGGCCAAGGCGGAAGGATCACTTGAAGTCAGGAGTTAGAGACCAGCCTGGCCAACATGGTAAAACCCTGCCTCTACAAAAACTACAAAAATTAGCTGGGTATGGTGGCACACGCCTGTAGTCCCAGCTACTCAGGAGGCTGAGGCAGGAGAATCGCTTGAACCTGGGAGGTGGAGTTTACAGTGAGCGGAGGTTGTGCCACTACACTCCAGCCTGGGTGACACACCAAGACTTTGTCTCAAAAAAATAAAAAAAGGCAAAATAATTATAAGACATGTTAAGAGAATGTGATAAGATATATGGATGCTACATAGATATACATAAAACAATAGCTTTTTCTTTTCTTTTCTTTTCTTTTTTATGAGACTTAGTTTCGCTCTGTCACCCAGGCTGGAGTGCAGTGGTGCAGCCTCAGCTCACTGCAACCTCCACCTCTCGGGTTCAAGTGATTCTCCTGCCTCAGTCTCCTGAGTAGCTGGAACTACAGGTGTGTGCCACCGTGCCCAGCTAATTTTTTATATTTTTGGGAGTGACGGGTTTTGCTATGTTGACCAGGGTGGTCAACATATCTATCTGTTTCTTGACTAAAATTAAAATGCTTTTACTGTGTCTCTATATAAGACAATATTTACTATTGGTTTCGGGCAGTTTTTGTCAATTTAAATTATTTTTTTACACCTACTTAGAATTTTTATTAGGAATGGCTGCCGAATTTTAGCCATTATCATTTGAACATCTGCTGAGGTTTTTCTTCTGTAGTTTATCAGTGTAATGGATTACGTTACCAGAATTTGGATATTGAACCACTCTTGCAGTTGTGGAATAAACCTTGCTGTTCATTGCCTTTTACTCTTTTGGTATAATGAAGACCTATATAAGCTAATATTTTACTTACAATTTTTATTTCTAAATCATAAGTAAAATTAGTCTGCAATTATCATTGTAATTAACAAATATTAATCTATCTTTTCTTCTTTCTTATGTTTTGGTATTAAAATTGTATTGGCTTCCTCTGACAGTGGAAATTAAAAAAGAAAAGAATAAAAATAAAATTGTATTGGCTTCAAAATGTGAATTTAAAAGATTTTTATATTTTGTCCCATGGGGTGCTAAGAAAAAGTAAAGTAAAATAAAATATTTTTATATGGCTTGGAGTAGCTAAACATGCATTTCTAACCAGCATCTAGGTGGCATTAATACTACCAGTCCTTGGACACACTTGAGTAACAAGGGTTTAAATAATTTAACATTGGGCCAGGTGCACTGGCTCATGCCTTTAGTTCCAGCTGTTTGGAAGGCTGAGGCAGGAGGATCAGTTGAGGTCAGAGTTTGAGACTGCAGTATGCAATGATCAGGCCTGTGAATAGCCACTGCATTCTAGCCTGGGCCACATAGCCAGACCCTATCTCTTAAAAAAAAAATCACTTTACATTGGAATTATCAGACCTTTAGAGGTAAATTCTCAGACCTTTAGAGCTGAGCTGAAACTCAGCTACATATGTACAACTGTTATATATCCATTTTAAAACAAAAAAAATGTACAACCGTTATATGTCAGTTAAAAAAGAAAAAACAAACTCAATTATGAGGCCATCTGGCCCTAAGGTCTTTTCAATAGTAAACATCCAATCACTTTACCATTACTTCTGTAATAATTGGTCCATTCATATAATAACTGGTCCATTCATGTGTTCCTGCTCTTCTTGAATTAATTTAAATAGTCTGTATTTTGCCAAAAAAAAAAATCGTAAGTTTCCTATAGCTTTTTATATTCACTGTCATAGCATTGCCTGTGGTGAGTCACGTGAATCTTAATTGCTGATGTACTCATGGTTATGACTTCAGCTTCCTAATCTTTTTCCTTTATTCCCTCTTCAAACTTGTAAGCTGTTTATCTATTTTATTTATTTATTTTTTAATTTTAGGACACAGATGCTAGAGCATGTTTATCTATTTTTTTAGTCTATTCAATAAACATTTGGAGTTATTTTCAGTAGATTTTATATATTTATCCCTCCTACTGTTATTCTTTCTTTTTTCTGTGTCATTAATTCTAAATTTAACGTTTGTCAATTTCCATTTCCTGGTTTTTGTTTCTAAATTTTTGAGAGGAATAGTTAGTTCCTTTAATTTTTGGTTTTATTTTTAAATTGTGAGGCATTGGAGAACTCTAAAGGCTCTCAAGTACCATTCTCAAGGTCCTGTCTGGTGCAATAGAAAGTGATTTCCTTTTCATTGGTTTCTAGATACTTAGCAACTCCCCTTTTATTTCCTTTTTGATCCAAGACTTATCTAAGAGTTTGTTCTTTAATTTCTAACTACAAAAAGTTTTTTAGGTCATTTTTTATGATGTATGTATTTTTCAGTTTTTGATTAGAGAATATGACCTATAAATTCTGTTGTTGTTGTTGTTGGTTGTTGTTAAAGCTTTCTGTGACCAAGCATATCAAAAATGTTTATACAAGGTTTTCATTTTTATGAAAAAATAAATCTTTTTTTCCCAAGCTCCATGTTCATGTAGAAAAAAAAATTCTATTTGTGAGATGCAAGAAGTCTTGATATGTGCTGCATCAAATTGTTTGATTATTCAGTTCATCTGAGTAATTTTTTGACTAGTGTAACTGTGTATTATTTTGTTGGTCTGGGTGCCTTTTGACTATTAATTCTGGGTAATTGTGAGAAAGGAATTTTGAAATCTTAATTATAATTGTACATTTATAAAGCACTTCTTGCCTTTATGATTTAGTTCTTTGATGCCCAGGATTGCTGTGTCATCTTTATTATTTGTGCCTTAAATCATGTGGGATGTTCCTTTTACCATACTCTCAGTGCTTTTAGCCTCAAGTTTCCCCTGCTTTTATAATAATGTTGCCACACTTGCCTTCCTTTTTCATTTGTATAATATGTCTTTGCCTATCATTTTATTTTCAGCCTTTTATTATCACTTTGTTTCAAGTATAAATCACTATTTCCAATGACCCACATCTCCACCTTAGTGTTTTCCTAACACTTCAAGCTTTAGCTTTCTAACACTGAGCTCATTTTCTCTGTGAAACCTTTTTCTTGTCTTTATTTTTCAGCTGAGTGGTGATGGAAAGCTTTTGTTGAGACACACCTAATCACTATTCAGCTACGGTATCCAGATACTCTTCTGCTGGGCAGTCTGTCTCCCACTCAGCCTGGGAGCTCAGATGGTGTTCTCTCATGCCACTCCAGGGATGGACATGTGACTGCAGTCTGGCCAACTAGACATCGCCTTCTTCTAGCCTCACAGGACCCACACAGAACTAATGCTGTGCAATCGGACTCCAGAAAATGGCCCTTCTCTTTCAGAAGAGGGCCACAGAGCGCAGCCCTTGTTGAAAATCAGACGACTGCTGGGCTCAAATCCTGGCTCTGTCTCTTATTTGAAATTTGGGGCTAGTTACTTAAACTGTTTCCATGTTCCTAACTTTAAAATAGCACCTATCTTACAGGATTGCTGTGAAAATGATATATGAACACATGTTGAAATGTAGAGCAGTGCCTCTGACATAGTAGCAAATACAGGTGATAACTGTGGCTATCATCTTCCCTTGCCCAGGATCTGGGAGGACAAGGCTGAAGCTATCGACAGTACAGGGTACGTGAAGCTGAGAAGAAACGAAACCAGCATAAAGGAGAGCAGAGTGAGAAGAGACCCTAGGGCCCCGAACACAGGTTTGACTTCTTAGAAAAAGTTCATCCTAAAATTGTCTGTACTCAGGAATTTTCAGTTACATGAGCCTTTTTGCTTAATATTCTGTGACTTGTATCAGAAAGAGTCCTTACTGATACAACCGTTGGCCGGTGCGCCTGGCCAGAGGTGTGGGAACCGTCTTCACTTCCTTCGTTTTCCTCACTGTGCACATCTGGTGTGGCAAGTCGGCACGTTCTACTTCCTCAATTTCTTTTCACCCTGGTTCCTTTTTCACTCCTCTAATTAGAAGGGAGGGGTGGAAGGGAGGGTAGGGGAATGAATATTTGCTGAGTACCTGTTAAATACTTACGGACTGTGCTAGGACTTGTGAACCTTTTAACCCTAACAATAACCCTATGAGGAATCTAAAGCCCAGAGACAGTAACTAGCTAGTCCAAGGTCACACAGTGGTGATACCAACTCCGGAGACCACATTTGATGCCACTATGTCATACTGTCTGGTCAAACATTTGCTGAATGGCTGATACCTACAAGGGCAATGCCTACAGAACTTGCTCCAGTCAATGCCCTACATGGCATTGGCCTACTCAGTCTTTTCTGAAGATGGCAATGACCCTAAAGCAGCCTAATCATTGTCAGGAGTCACACACACAGTGGTCCTGTCCTGTTTTTCTCAGGGAGTCATCAAGCACTAAATCTACCTATTCTCTGCCCAAAGCTTGCTGAGCCTGTTTACAGAGAAAGGAGTCACACCAGCCAGGTTGGGCCATGCCACATCCATCAATCACAGAGAGACAAACACATGGCCTAGAGATTTTCCCAGCATGAATTCACACACACACATGCACACATGCACTTACACACACTCTAGTCTACCAGTCTGACTCCTTAAAAATCTAGTTCTCTACTGAGACTTTCCTGAATGGCCCTGTAAAAATATTTCTACCACCATTCCTGGGCTCTTCACAATGTCCATTAGAAAGTGTATTGCTTATTCCTCAAGTCTGCTGAGCTCACACTGGGATGGTGGCTCTCGACCCAGAGGCTCCTCCCCACAGCCAGCACCTGGTCTTGCTTTGGGTCTCGGCTTCAGGGAGGCCTTTCCTGCTCATACCACCTAAGATAGGCCACACTTCCTTCCACCACCTTATTCAGAATCTCAGCTCATTGATAGCTTCCTTTGAAGCCTTTAGAACAGCATGCAACTATTTGTTTCACTTGTGTGCTTACTGCAGATTTGTTTGTATTCAAATGTGTCTGTCTTGTGTCTTTCTCCTTTATTAGAATGGAATCAAATGGGCATCTTGAAAGTAGAAAACCTGCTTGTTGCCATTGTATCCCTAGCACCTCACATAGGCTGTAAGATCTTTTAGGCTGACAGACGGCCCCATGGATGCCTGTTAACCTGTGACCTGCATGGATACTCCAGATGAGTTCCTGGAAAATCTTAAATAACTGGAAGCCCATGAAAAGAGGAAGAAATGATCAACCCCTGCTTAACTTTGAGACATTCCCTATTGTTTCTTATTCCCACCCCAATTGATAAGGCCATTGGACTTTGTAGCCAACCTTGGTCAACCTTGCCACTCCACACCCTTCGACCCCCTCCCAGCTCGCAAACCTATGACCCCTCCCAGCTCGCAGAAAACTACCCTAAACTGTAACTTCCGTAACTTTCTACTGCCCACACCAAACCAATAAACCAACTCCTAGCCCATTGCCATTCACTGACTCCCTTTTTGGTTTCAGCCTCCCGCACCTGAGTGAATAAACAGCCATGTTGCTCACACAAAGCCTGTTTGGGGGTGGGGGTCTCTTCATTCAGAGCATGCATTTTAATGTAGGCTTCTTGTGTATATATAGTAGGTGCTCACTATGTACTTGTTGAATTAGTGAAAAAAAGAATCTGAGACTTGGAACCCAAAGGGCTGATTTTATCCCAACCACCTGGTGGGGCCCTTTTAAGCTGAGTGATTGGAACAAATGGGTGAAATCCCCAAACTCTGGAACCTTCTCCATTTGATAGACTTTGGTTCGTCTCTGCATGATTTTGACATTCTTTTTCTATTTTGTGTGGCTGGCTTAGACCACAGTTCTAAAGTCATTTTATTTTATTTTATTCGTTTATTTATTTATTTATTTTTGAGACAGAGTCTCACTCTGTTGCCCATGCTGGAGTGCAGTGGTGCAGTCTCACCTCACTGCAGCCATGACCTCCTAAACTGAAGCAATCCTCCTGCCTTAGCCTCCTGAGTAGCTGGAACCACAAGCATGTGCCACTACACATGGCTAATTTAAACAATTTTTTTTTTTTAGAGATAGGGTCTCACTACGTTGCCCAGGCTGGTGTTTAACTCTTGGGCTCAAGCAAGCCTCTCACCTTAGCTTTCCAAAGTGCTACGATTACAGGCATGAGCTACCATGCCCAGCCTCTGAAGACATTTTAAATGTCATCCCATGGAATCCTAAATTTCTCTTATGCTTTTGACTTGGCCTAAATGATATGGCTCCAATGAGTGGAGGAACACCAGGGCTTTTGTCTCACATTGAATTAGGTAAAACAACTCAGACATACGTGGAGTGGTTCTAAGGAGCAGACAGTTTAACAGGCAAGACAGTTATGGAAGACGGCAGAAGGAAGACGCTCCCCCATACAGAGACAGAGGGAGGGGGGCTCCAAAGCCAAAAGAGGAGACCCCAAGTGGAGCAGAAACCAGCCAGGTATATGTAGAGGCTGGAGGAGGCAGTGGTGTCTGATTTGCATAGGGCTCAGGGGATTGGCTTGACCAGGCATGTCATTCAAGTAGCCCATGAAAAATCTGGCCCTCCTAAACTTAACTTTGAGACATGCCACCCTACAGGAATCTCCACGTGTTCAGCTAATTGGAAGGTCTCTGAACCCAAACCTTTGGGTTTTTATGGAAGCTTCATTACATAGGCAGGATTGGTGTAAACTAAAAACAAAATTCTAAGCCCCCAAATTGACTGAACAGACATCTCTTGGCCAAAGGGACCCCAGAGTAAACTTGAAAACTGAGTTCTCAGCTATGATGGGATGGGGGATCAGAACACCCTGTTATTCCCTCCTTCACTAATAATGATTGTGCTTTCTTCCCTAAAGGCGTAACAGAAACCAGACCTTCCAAAATTTCTACCACTGATATCAACCAACCGCCTGATGCTGCCCTTCCTGTTTTACCTGACCACCAACCATGGAGTCATTTTGGCCAGTCTACAGAGAATGCACAGCAAGGGTTTTCATGTCCTCTGTTTCACCTTTTGATGTAAGAGGGCCAAAAACTCCACCCTCAGATAAGCTCCACAGCTCCATTTTTTGAACGGGGAGAAGCATGAAGCTCAATTGCACATGCGTACATTTCTCCCCTCATAAATATTCATTAGTTTCTGACAGCTTATAGATATGTATATTTAGCCACGCTGCTCAGTATAAATTCAGGTTCCCTTAGCCCCTGCCTGAAAGTGTCTGTTTCTGGCTTCTGGGTGGAGACTACACTTCTCAGCCTGTCAGGATGGCCATCCTGCAGGATGAGCTATAAAGAGAAAATAAAGCCCTCCTTTCCAAATGTATGAACCCCATTATTCTCCAGTTGACATTGGTTAAATCATGGCCATCAGTGATTAGCTTAACCTTTAGCCCCTGTTCCCTCCATGGAGGCTGGGGGATGGGGCTAAAAAGTCCTAACCCTCTTACTCGTACCTTGGTCTTTCCTGTGACCAGCCCCATCCTAAAGCTGCTTAAGGGCTTCCAGCCACAACTTAACAACACACAAAAAGACACTTACTGCTTTGGAGATTCGTAAGACTTCAGGAGTTGTAGGTCAGGAAACAGGGATGAAGACCAAATATACATTTACAGTATTACAGGTAAGTTACTTAACTTCTCTGGGCTCAATTGACTGATATTTATAATGAGACTAATACCAACTGGAGTTGCTATGAGTACCAAGTGCTAAAGAAAGAAAGATAGATAGATGGATAGATAGATAGATAGATAGATAGATAGATGATAGATAGATAGATCATAGATAGATAGATAGATGATAGATAGATAGATGATGGATAGATAGATGATAGATAGATAGATAGATAGATGATAGATAGATAGATGATAGATAGATCGATAGATGATAGATGATAGATAGATAGGTGATAGATAGATAGATAGATAGATAGATAGATAGATTCATCAAAATAAATAATCCCAGCTTTGGCAACACAGGGAGACCCAGTCTCTACCAAAAACTAAAACATCAGTCATCCATGGTGGCTTGTGCCTGTGGTCCCAATTACTTGGGAGGCTGAAGTAGGAGGATCACCTGATCCTAGGAGGTCAAGGCTGGAATGAGCCAGGAGTGTGCCACTGGACTCCAGCCTGGATGACAGAGTGAGACCCAATCTCAAAAAAAAAAAAAAGATTTTGTGTTTGGTACACACTTGTTGTTCAATAAATCACAGCACTTTTTTTTTTTTTTTTTTAAGTTGGGGTTTCACCATGATGGCCAGACTGGTCTTGAACTCCTGACCTCAGGTAATCCACCCACCTTGGCCTCCCAAAGTGCTAGGATTACAGGCGTGAGCCACCGCGCCCGGCCAGTCACAGCACTTTTTAATTAAGAGATTTACCCAAGGTCTATCTTGTTAAGTGGCCTAGAACTTGATGACTTCTTGCTTTGTAAGGTCCTAAGGGTATTTCCCATGTCAGCTGTGTGGTTTGTCTCATCTCTCAGGTTCTGAGTTCTTCCAGGACAGGGATAATGTCTCCTACCTTTTTGATTTAGTGGCCTGTATCTAGAATGACTTTACTTACATACTAGTCCTCAGAAATAAGATACCATTTATTATGTGATATTGAGTTTTCTACTCACTGGTATATGTAAATGTTAATAGATTAGGCAAATGTCTCTCTGACATAAGTAAGCACTGTTTTCGACTTATCTTCCATCTCTAGGACCAACTCTCTCCTTATATGTCTGACCAGGGAGACCATAAAACAGGACTTTTGTGATGAATCATTCTAGTTTTATGTTCAAATGTTATGAAAGAAAATGCAACTTATTGCATCACATGGATAGGAATGAAGGACAATTTAACCTGAGCTAAACTGAGAGATGCTGAAAACATCTGAGGTTTTATATACACTATTGTGTATATGTGTGCCTGTTTAATGACACATTAAGCAACTCATTTCCTCTCTTATTCCTCCACCCATATCTTGAGAACTGCCAATTTTCCCTATTATTGTTTCCTGTTAAATCCATCCTCTTGCCTCCCATCCCTTTGCAGGCTCTCAGCATCCTTCACTTGCTATGAAATGTTCCTGCAGTGGCTCTCAGATGTCAGTCCTACCTTCTGGAACCCAGGCTCCACCCTGGCACCAGATCAGTGTCTCCAAAATGCCATGGACCTTGTCCCTGCTCTGCCACTCGGTCCTTCAATACCGCCTTTTCTCTACCCACATAGCTCTTTACTTAGAACATAAGGCCCAACAACCTGGTGTTGAGCTCAGAACACTTTCACATGCTGACTACTTTAAACCAAAGGAGATTAGAAGGCCTCAGAAGCGAGGTCTCTCTGACCTGCTCCCATCCTCCTGTCTCCCACCAGTCTTTCTCCTCTGAAGTGATTCATAGAAACCAGAATTCCTCTTCCCCAAAGTGAGTCATAGAAACTAGAACCCCTTTCCCCCAAAGAAAGCCATAAAACCTAGAAAGGCCACTCCCTTTTCCTTCTCCCTTCTCCCTTCGAGACCCTCATTTCAGAAGGGTCCTGCTCCATCCCCACACAGAGAAGCCAAGAAAAATCTGAACAGACAGGCCTTGCTGGATTCCCCTCCCCTGTGCCAACCTCAGCTATTACCATTAGATCGCACTCTTTTTGTCTAATTATAGTCCTACATGGCTAGCCATTCTTTTTTTTTAAGAACGGGTTTCACCACATTGGTCAGGCTGGTCTTGAACTCCCAACCTCAGGTGATCCACCCGCCTTGGCATCCAAAGTGCTTGGATTACAGGCGTGAGCCACCACGCCCATCCAGCTGCTACCATTCTTAATTGAACCTATACATTAAAAGAGTTTTTCCTAGGTCATGGGGTCTTTATTTCTGAAGACTCCTATATCATGTAAAACTTTGATTAAATAAACGTGTTATGCTTTTCTCTTATTAACCTGACTTTTGTTATAGGAGTGTTGGCCATGATCCTTACCATAAGTGAGAAAAGATGTTACCTTTCTGCCCCTATAGTTTCTGGCACCTAAAATAGGAGTGGCTGAGACACCTATTTGCTCTGGAGCCTGCAGAATAGATCCTGGGACAATTGTCAAACAGCCGGCAAAGGAAAGGTAAAATTTTTTTTACCAAAGTCAGCTCTCCCAGACCTCTGCGTCTAGTGTTCAGTTATGAACTGAAGGTAAAAATTTCTCAATAACTTCCATTCCAAATTTAGCTTAGCAGGAGAAAATCCATTGTTTGGATTGTGACTCTTGTGTAAATTTGGTTTGGGGTACCATTTGATATTGATTCTTTCCCTCCCAGGGACAGCTATTTCATTTCTGTTTGTCTCATTTGTTTCCTGAGTGTTTGGCTTTGTGACCAGAGAAAATACTCTGTCTGGTCTCTGCCATCAGGAAGGCAAAGTATCAGCATGTATCGGGCAGCCAGTTAATAGGCTGGGAGCCTCTTCTCTGTCAGTGAGTCAGCTCACAGATGAGTTTGACTTACTAAGAGGTCCCAGTTCATCAGAGGCTTTTGTTGTCTCAACCTCTGTTGCTTGGTCCTGTGGCAACAAAGGTCTTTATTTGACTGTCCTTGAGAGTGGCTCTGCATCTTGGGAGGGCTGCCTCTTTTGAGTAAGTCTTTTTCATCTTTGGTTAAGTTATAAAACACTTACTGGTTTTGATTCTGCATTAAGTTACTTGGTAAATACCTCTGGTTTAAATGGAGAAAAAAAAAAACCCAGGAATATTTATTGTTCCAGCTGAAATCTAATAATAAGGGACTTGAAAGGGGTTTTTTGGGTTTTTTTTAAGGAGTTCTGTGGCCAGAAGTCAGGTTAATTGGAAACTAATATTCGGGATATAATTTTTTAAAGTTATCTCTGTTGTACTGGATCTTGCTCACCCTAGGAGAACATCTCAGTTGACGGATACCCTCTTCTTGAACCCCTGCAAACTATATGCTCGATCTTTCTGCCCACTTTCTTTCTTGTTGGCATAATTTTTGCTAAGGATAATGTGGAACTTCGTTATGAAAATTAAAATTTCTCCAAAATGTCTCCTAAAGACTTCTTCTACTTACTTCTGTCCCTCCTTCCTTTTGCTGCCTTTGGTCTTCTATTCAGTTGCTTTAATCCTTGATATGTTCCTCTTCAAGCTCCTATCTCCTCCATTTGGTGATCAGTGGATGGAAAATTACCAAAAGGAAACATCAGAGGTAAGAAGAATTGAGGTTTCTATAGCTAAACTTTAGTCAGGCTTCTGAACCTTCTCTAAGGCCCATCTCTGTACTTCCTTGTAAAATCCTATAGTAAATTTCTGTAAAATCCTGTAGTAAATTCCTGTAAGTCTATATTGCCTTGACATCCATTTTGAATCCTCCTCAGTCCCACCTAATTGACTCACTCTCCTCCTGGTCGGGCTCTCCTAAAGAGTGGCTTTTTTGATAGGCCCATCAGGGCAGGGGCAGAGTTTATAGCCACTCTCTAGAAAGAAATCTCAAGACCAAATTAGTGAAAAATGCGACAATTCAGTTTTAGCAGAAATAAATGTCTTATCCATTCACATGGGTCTTTGTGGACAGTTAACTGCTAGATGTCTCTTCAGTCACCAGCCTAAAATCTAGTCCACAGCTTCCATAAGATTGACCTCTGATAATAGGTTTTCTCTATTCACCATATTTAAGAAAGCCTGTTAACAGAGAAACTTTGAGATATAACTTTCCTATCCTGTTTTCTCTAGAACTTGATGGTTAACCTTTGGAAATACAAGCTTCAAAGAGATAATGATCATCTGAAAGAGAACTATTTAGAAACTGGTCGAATAAAAAGTCTTAAACTCTTTTTCCACAATACTTGGGAAAAAGCTTGAACTATCTGAGCAGGTAGCCTCAACTTGTCCCATTCACCAGAACTAGTTAGGAAGTCTTAAATTATCAGACCTGGCACATAGGTAAAAGTTTTTGAATGAAAGCTGTAAAATCTGCTTCTGTCTATATGTTTATACTATTAAATGTAATAGAGACATATAATTTTGCCTGGTTTACTGGTTATACATGTTTGTGTTCTCTGTTAAATGGTTAAGACCATAAAAGTGTAAATTCAACCTAAGAGCAGAATGCACACTAAAAATAAATTGCCTGATGCATGTCAGTCAAAGAGAAAAAAAAGAGAGGAAAGAACCACGTTTAGCTTTTTAGTTTCTTGGCTTCTGCAGTATTTTTGTCACGTGCCTGATTTACCAATAACAACAAAAAATACTTAAGATAGTGGCCAGCTTTGTTTAATGTTTCATAAAATTTTCATTAACAGTTCAAGCATAATTGTTAAGAGTAACTAAATTAAATGAATATAAGTTGTATAAAAGTTTAAGTGAGGTTTTATTAATAATTATTTATAGAATATGTCTACTTTAACATAAAATCTTTTTGATAACTTGAAACTTTAAAATAAAATTAAGTAATAGACACCCATTTAATGTTTGAGTCATTTCAAAGTAAGTTGAAATATTGAAACATTAATTATTAAGCATAAATTTAAGTTTATATACTTTGTCATCTTGTTTTTATATGCCATAGAGAAATGAAATATATTTAGTCTGCTAATAAACATGAAAAATTGAGGAAACGTGTCTCTAATAAGTATAAAATGGTGAATGCTGATATAAGACAGTTCATAATATTTGCTAATTTTCACCAGAAATTAACTTTACTAAGAATTTGAGATTAGGCCAGGCACAGGCTCACGCCTGTAATCCTAGCACTGTGGGAGGCCAAAGTGGGTGGATCACCTGAGTTCAGGAGATCAAGACCAACCTGGCCATTAATTTATGTATGTAATTAGCCTATTCAAAATTATAAGGGAAACAACAGTGTATGCAACAAAAGAAAGCTGTGTCTGATAAAGAAAGGTATGTAGGATGAATTTTGTTTAAAAAAGAAAAGTTGATGAATATTTTTTAAAAGTTACAAAAAGTTTGTGGAAACCTTATCCTGTATGAACAAAACTGAGTTAGATTGGATGAATTTATTTAAAAGGTTTTTAAAATCAGCAAAGTTTCAGGATATAAAATCAATGTGCAAAAATCACAAGCATTCCTATACACCAGTAACAGACTTAAAATCAAGAACGAACTGCCATTCACAATTGCTACAAAGAGAATAAAATACCTAGGAATACAACTTACAAGGAACGTAAGGGACCTCTTCAAGAAAAACTACAAACCACTGCTCAATGAAATAAGAGAGGACACAAACAGATGGAGAAACATTCCATGTTCATGGTTAGGAAGAATCAATATCATGAAAATGGCTATACTGCAAGTAATTTACAGAATCAATGCTATCCCCATCAAGCTACCATTGACTTTCTTCACAGAACTGGAAAAAACCACCTTGAACTTCATATGGAACCAAAAGAGAGCCCGCACAGCCAAGTCAATTCTAAGCAAAAAGAACACAGTGTGAGGCATCACACTATTGGACTTCAAACTATACTACAAGGCTACAATAATCAAAACAGCATGGTACTGGTACCAAAACAAAGATATAGACCAATGGAACAGAACAGAGGCATCGGAGGCAACACAACATCTCTACAACCGTACAATCTTTGATAAACCTGACAAAAACAAGCAATGGGGAAAGGATTCCCTGTTTAATAAATGGTGTTGGGAAAACTGGCTAGCCATGTGCAGAAAGCAGAAACTGGACCCCTTCCTGACACCTTACACTAAAATTAACTCCAGATGGATTAAAGACTTACACATAAGACCTAACACCATAAAAACCCTAGAAGAAAATCTAGGCAAAAGCATTCAGGACATAGGAGTAGACAAGGACTTCATGACCAAAACACAAAAAGCATTGGCAACAAAAGCCAAAATAGACAAATGGGACCTAATCAAACTCCACAGCTTCTGCACGGCAAAAGAAACAGTCACTAGAGTGAATCAGCAACCAACAGAATGGGAAAAAATTTTTGCAGTTTACCCATCTGACAAAGGGCTCATATCCAGAATTTACAAAGAACTCAAACGGATTTACAGGAAAAAAACAAACAAGCCCATTCAAAAATGGGCAAAGGATATGAACAGACACTTTACGAAAGAAGACATATATGAGGCCAATAATCATATGAAAAAATGCTCATCATCACTGGTCATCAGAGAGATGCAAATCAAAACCACATTGAGATACCATCTCACACCAGTTAGAATGGCGATCATTAAAAAAATCTGGAGACAACAGATACTGGAGAGTATGTGGAGAAATAGGAACACTTTTACACTGTTGGTGGGAATGTAAATTAGTTCAACCATTGTGGAAGACAGTGTGGCGATTCCTCAAGGCCTTAGAAATAGAAATTCCATTTGACCCAGCAATCCCATTACTGGGTATATACCCAAAGGACTATAAATCGTTCTACTATAAGGACACATGCACATGAATGTACATTGCAGCACTGTTTACAATAGCGAAGACCTGGAACCAACCCAAACGCCCATCGATGATAGACTGGACTGGGAAAATGAGGCACATATACACCATGGAATATTATGCAGCAATCAAAAATGATGAGTTCATGTCCTTTGTAGGGACATGGATGAATCTGGAGAACATCATTCTCAGCAAACTGACACAGGAACAGAAAATGAAAAACCGCATATTCTCACTCATAGGCGGGTGATGAACAATGAGAACACATGGACACAGCGAAGGGAGCACTACACACTGGGGTCTATTGGGGGGTATGGGGGGACAGCAGGGGGGGATCTGGGGAGGGATAGCCTGGGGAGAAATGCCAAATGTGGGTGAAGGGGAGGAAGGCAGCAAAACACACTGCCATGTGTGTACCTATGAAACTATCTTGCATGGTCTGCACATGTACCCCAAAACCTAAAATGTAATAAAAAAAAATAATTAATTAATTTTTTTAAAAAAAGAAAAAAGAAATAAATAAAAGTTACAAAAAGTTTGTGGAAACCTTATCCTGTATGACCAAAACTGAGTTAGATTGGATTAATTTATTTAAAAGGTTTTTTAAACCAGCTTTAGTAGTAATAGCACATGGATACAAAAGTAGAAGTTGGTCTTTTCTGTTAAAATGACAAACGTTTCTTGGGGTATTGTTCTGAGAACATATAGATTTTTTTCCTTTTAAGTAACTGACCTAGAAAATAAAGACTGTGTTTTATCAAGATAATTTTGTATGCTTCATATTATCTTCTATTGGGTCTTTGGTTACTTAAGAAAACCGAGACTTCTCAATATTAAAAAAGCTAAGTTTGTTCAGAACCATGGGATTTTCTGTGTTTGCCTTTAAATTCTTCTGCTGTCACTTTGATGAAACATCTAGCCAAGATCATTTATAATTAACTATTGAATCTTTTGACATTTTTTTACCAGCTCCCCAAAATCATATCCTAAATTAAGTAGTTTCAATCTCAAATTACTTTTGAGATTTTTCTGTTGGACCCCTGGAGGCTTGCAAGAGATGTTTCTATTGCCTTGTAAAAGACTGATATAAAACTAATTCAGCTTATTTGAAATGTTAAATTACATGAGAAGCATTGTCAAATAGTAAGTGATGAATATTTTTTAAAAGTTACAAAAAGTTTGTGGAAACCTTAAGTTATATTTATGGGTATGTTATTTTTATGAGTACTTCAAAAACTATATGAGATTGCTGGAAATCTAAGATGTCATCAGTCATAATTTGGGTTATTATGTTAAAATACTGTATGCCACAGAAATAACAAAATTTCCTTGTCACTTGCTGGTTATGATGAACTCTCATCAAATTTTTAACCATGGCCATTCTGCCCTTGTTATCCACCATATAGTTTTGTTTTTTGTCCAAAAGCACTTGTAATCACCTACAGTCCAAAGTTGCTTTTTCTTCAAGCAGATTCATGGGAAAAATTCTGGCAAGTACTCTTAAATACAGATTTATGTAAACTTTAAGATAATAAGGGCTGGGCACGGTGGCTCATGCCTATAATCCCAGCACTTTGGGAGGCCAAGGTGGGCAGATCACCTGAGATCGGGAGTTAGAGACCAGCCTGACCAACATGGAGAAACCTCATCTCTACTAAAAATACAACATTAGCCAGGCATGGTGGTGCATGCCTGTAATCCCAGCTACTTGGGAGGCTGAGGCAAGAGAATTGCTAAAACCCGGGAGGTGGAGGTTGTGGTGAGATCACACAATTGTACTCCAGCCTGGAAAACAGAAAAAAAAAAAAAAGATATGTCTGGGCACAGTGGTTAACATCTATAATTTTAGAACTTTGGGAAGTCAAGGTGGGAGGATTGCTTGAGCCCAGGAGTTTGAGACCAGCCTGGGCAAAATAATGAGACCCCCATCTCTATCGCCCTCCCCCAAAAAAATAGCCAGGTTTCGTGGGATGCACTTAGAGTCCCAGCTATGCCAGAGACTGGACAGAGGGACCTCTTGAGCCCAAGAAGTCAAAGCTGCAGTGATCTGTGATTGTGCCTCTGTATTGAGCCTGGGAGATAGAGCAAGACCCTGTCCCCCCAAAAATAAAAACAAAATTAAGATCGTATCATTGGACTGGCTAAGAATTTTCAGAACTCTAATAAAGAAACTGATAGCAGCCAGCATAGTGGCTCATACCTGTAACCCCAGCACTTTAGGAGACTGAGGTAAAAGGATCACTTGAGCCCAGGAGTTCAAGGCCAGCCTGAGCAACATGGTGAGACCCCATCTCCACAAAAAAGACAAAAACAGCTTGGTGTGGTGGCATATGCCTGTGGTCCCAGATACTCAGGAGGCTGAGGTGGGAGGATCACTTGAGACCAGGAGGTCAAGGCTGCTATGAGCCATCATCACATCACCATTTCATTCCAGACTAGGTAACGGAGTGAGATTCTGTCAAAGAAAGAGAGAAAGAAAAAAACGAAAAGAAAAGAGAGAGCTCCATTCCATGTGGTTCAGGGAAACAAAAAAAAAGAGAGAGAAAAAGGAAAAGAAAGGGAAGGAAGGAAGGAAGGAAAGAAGGAAGGAAGGAAGGAAGGAGTGACACATGGCTAAAAAATAAAAAAAGAGAGAAAGAAGAAAGAAGAAAAAGGAAAAAAGAAAAAGAAAAGAAGGAAGGAAGGAAAGAAGGAAGGAAACATAGGAGGAAGGAAGGGAAGGAGGGAGAGAGGGAGGGAGGGAAGGAGGGAAAGAAGGAAAGAAAGGAAACGAATGGCATCATGAAATTGCTAACCAAGATCAAGCAGAGAAATAATTAATTAAATGGGACTGAATTAACTGATGAAGATAATGTTCTTAGGACCTTTAATTTGAAATTCTACTGGTTCTTATTTTAAATGTTGTTTTTTTTCCTCAGATTTAAGAAAACATTTTTTTTTCTCTTAAGCTATCTACGCTTAAAGAAATTTGGTAAAGTATACCTTTGTGAGAAGAATGGAAACATTATTCTTTCTCCTACCTGGTACCTCCAGAATTCAACTGAAAACATGAGACCCTAAAGTATGGCACTTTGGTATGCTGGGTACTTTGAACTAAAGGAGATTGGAAGACCTTAGAAGCAAGGGTTTTCATCCGTCTTCTTTCTCTGAAGCAAGTCATACAATCTAGAAAAGTCACTCCCTCTCCCATCTCCCTTCAAGACCCCCATGCCCATGAGGAAGAAATGTTATACAAAGAGGCCAAGAAGAATCTGAACAAACAGGCTTGATGAGTTTTCCCCTCAGTCTATTACCATTCAATCATACCCTTTTTGTCTAATCACGTTTCTACATGACTGTCCATTCTTCATCGAACATAAGCTAAAACGGACAGTTTTCCTTGGGTCATTGGGTCTTCATTTCTGAAGACCCTTGTGTTGTAGAAGCTGTCAAGAAATTATTTTAGTCAGATAGAGAGGAAAAGAGGTCCTTGGGAAGTTTTCATTTTTTAAAGCATCTATAGAAAAGTTTCTAGTAAAGCCCCCTCTCTTAGAGCCAGGGGCTGGCAACCTTTGATATGCAAATGCAGAGGAACTGGGTCCACCCAACATGAATTCCCTGGGCCTTCTCGCCCTTTCTCCACATGATCCTGGCAACATGGCCACCCCCACATATCTCCACATGTGTAGAAAATCATGGTGCCCTGCATTTGCATATTAAAAGGCTAGGGTGGGCCAGGCACCATGGCTTATGCTGTAATTCCAGCACTTTGGGAGGCCAAGGTGGCGGATCATGAGGTCAAGAGATCGAGACCGTCCTGTTAGAAGTAAAATGCTTGGTGCCTCACAGTGAAATCAGCACTCAGGCAAAAGTTCTCTCAGCAAGGCAATTTACTTCTATAGAAAGGCTCTTCCAGCATGCAAGGCAGAGAAAAGGGAGAGCTCACAGAACAAAGGAGAGAAGAAGTTTTTATCCCTAACTCAAACCCTGTTCCTGTGTCCTCCCCCTGTGGACTGTGGTCCAACCTCACACTCTAGGTTAATTCTGATTGGCTACTATTGACATCATCAAAGGAGGCAAGGATGTGCCTTTGATGGGAGGGACGGGTACTTCGGTGACAGGAAATGCTTAGGCATGTTTGGGCACAGCAGAGATAGGGAGGGCTGATAGGTAAATGGGTAAGATTACTGTTTAGAGCAAAGAACCAGAAATTGAAACCCTTTGAAGGGGAACTATTTGTTTTTAACAACAATCCTGGCCAACATGGTGAAACCCTCTCTCTACTAGAAACACAAAAATTAGCTGGGTGTGGTGGCACACATCTGTAGTCCCCACTACTCAGGAGGCTGAGGCAGGAGAATCGCTTGAATCTGGGAGGCAGAGGTTGCAGTTAGCTAAGATCATGCCACTGAACTCCAGCCTGGCAACATTGTGAGATTCCATCTCAAAAAGAGGAAAAAGGGCTACCATTTTCATGGGCTATGTGAATAACATGCCTTGTCAAACCAATCCCCTGAGCCCTATGCAAATCAGACACCGCCTCCTCCATCCTCCGTGTATATATACCTGGCTGGTGTCCATTGCACCTGGGGACTCCTCTTTTGGCTTTGGAGCCCCCCCTCCCTCTCTCCTGTACCAGGGAGCTTCTTCCTTCTGTCTTCTCCCTTCTTGCCTATTAAACTTTCTGCTCCTTAAAACCACTCCACATGTGTCTATGTCGTTTTATCTAAACTGGCATGAGGTCCAAGACGAGTGTTCCTCCACTCGTCAGAGCCATTATCATTTGAATCACGTAAAACTTTGATTAAATAAATTTGTTATACTTTTCTCTTGTTAACCTGTCTTTTGTTACAGGAGTGTCTGCAGGGACTATTATGATGGGTGAAGAAGGGTATCACACCTTTCTGTCTCTATACCAGCAAGAAGGAAGGTTGACTATCTCTAGTGTTTCTGAGACCCAAGACCAGCTGCCCAATACTTACTTTTAAGCATATTTCAAGACCTTAAATACCTTAAGAAGTAAATCAGTTCTAGAAACCCTCAATAAATCAGCATTAGACCTTCATCAAGTATGAGTTCTTGCCCAATCATAAGTAAATCAGGCTAAGAGAACAATGTTGTCAGGCAAATGCCACATAAAATAAATACAGTAAAATAAAAAACTGAATCTATTTTTTTAAATAGAAAAACACAACCCCTGAGGTAGTGAAGAAATCCCGGGAAAGCCTTTTTTTTTAATGCTGCTACAACACAGTCATTCAGTTTTCCGCTAAGCTTCTCCTGCTGTCCTGGCTTCTGCTGGGCCTCTGTTAACCTGGGTGTGA